AAGTGGTATGACCAGGAGGTTACAGTAGACCTGCTGAAACGACCCGGTCGCGGTCTCGGCATCTGCATTGCCGATCGTACGGGTCCAGCCTCGAGGTCTACGCCAGCAGGTAGCGGTGGTGGCGGTACCGGTGATGCAGTGGTCGCCGAAAAGCCCATTATCCCATCGCCACAAAATGGAATAACTTCTTCTGGCAACAGGACAGCAAGAGATCAAGCTCCTGCGACAGAAACCACCTCACTGGGAGTGATTATTTCTGACTTGGTAAGTCAACTGCCGCTACTTTGGGTCCCTTTATAGTCAGAGTGCTCACATGATGCAATGCGAGGATCCAGTACTGACTTTCATAACTAGAATGCCTTAAGTTTGAGGTATACTTTTGGGAAGAAGTAACTCAAACGGAAAGAAATTGTGCGTTGCTTGTCGGCACTATTAAAAGTTCGGATCTATTTTGCAGCCATGCATGAAAACGTCGTTTCTTGTACGCATTTAGTAGAAATTTGTTTTCTTCAAATGTTACTCGCGAAGAAAAGGTAACTTTTGGTTTCAAAGTTTTCGTAATTTTGATATTCTTCAAGACAATGGAAGCTTTTTATCCCCGCGTTTCCGTTTATTAGGGCTCCTTTTGAACTCAAGTCAAACAAGGCCTTTCAAAACTGAAAAAACCTTCTCTTGAAGCATAAAATTTGAAGAAGACGCAATTTTCTACATCACGTAATTGAGCCTCATAGCTCTATGGTAGAGAGTTGGCTGCGCAAAAGTCTTCCCCGATTGTGTGGGTTCGACTTCCACCGAGGCCGCACATTTTGCATAATTGGGTCAATCGAACGGAATATTTGTACGCACGCTTTCTATAAAACATATTTAGATTTGTAAGACCACTGACAATATTAATCAGGCTGTTGTGTATCACTGAATGTACTTTACGTTATTTCACTTTGTAAAGGCCCCCGAAGCCATGAGTGTGTAAAAGCAGTAGTAGAAATAATGCAACACAAGCGTTCAGAGCAGGATTTATTTGTACGGACAAATTTTCAGACAGCCTTTAAACTGCTTCCTGCCATTTGATTAGAATTTGATGACAAGTGAAGAA